CGCGTGCTCCGTGCTGGTTCGCTGCTGCCCGTGCTGCTCGGGGCTTAGTGCTCGAGGTTAGGTATGTGCTGCAGGATGAGGCCAAGCTGACCCTGCCCTGCCAGTTTATGGTAGCAGGAGCTGCTGGAAAGGAGCGTTGTGGCTTTCTCTGAGCATCCGCGGCGTTACCTGCTGTCTCTTGCTCTTCCTGGTGCCAGTGCAGGTGTGGACATCTACATCTGTCCGTAGATGTTGCTTTTGTTGCCCTAAAGAGCTCAGAATCGCTTGTGAGACTCTCGCCGTGATTAGCAGGTAGGTGACACAGTCAAGGATCTTTTTGTACCGAAAATTAAGGGTTAGACATCATTATGTAACGGGAAAGCCAAGAGCAGGAGGGACTGGGGATGTGGAGCAGAGACCAACGTGATCCCTTTCCACAGGGGAGGAGCGAGGAGGAAGACTCACCCGACCAGATCCAAAACCAGTGTGACCTTCACTTTTCGGATAAAGTGATTCTGAAACTCTGCGTAGAGGAGTCCTGGCCTGAGCTCCTGAGCTGCTCCCTGCAGGTAGGGGATTGACTTTTGGAGTGCTTGCTGTCTGAAGGATGTGAGCTGAGACAAAAGCTGCTTGACTGTCAGAAACGTATGGGTGCTGTCTGGCTGCTGTTAGACAAAGCTATTAGAAAATGAAAACCCAAACCAGACATTTGGAGAACTATTTTGAATGCAAATAGAAAGCTTTGTCAGCCAGCTTTAACGCTGGCATCTCAGCAATGTTTCTGGTGTATCAGGAATTGAGCTGTGCCACAGGATATATGCAGCATTTTCTCTGTGGTGATGGAATGTCAGGAGTGACTCTTAGGTCAGGACAGGCCATTTATTAGAGCTCTGTATGGCTGTGACACTGACACGTATCAATCTGCAGTCTGACATGCCTTGCCAGCCTTGCAGTTGCCTCTGGAGCAAACACAGTCCTCAGGCTAGACGTTCTGCATTCACTGGCTGACTGCCCTGACAGGCACTTAGAGCAGAACCTACTCCAGTTGCTGTGCTGCTGAGGAGGTCTGTCTGCTCTTCAAACTGTGTGTCTGGGAAACATCTTAGACTGCTGCTCTCTGTCTTACTGTCTCCTGCAAAATTCTGTGTGGTTTAGCTTGGTGTGAAGCTTTACAAGTGATTCTTGATTAAGGTACTACTACATCTCACATGGAAACTGCTGCTCCAGTCAACACTGTCAGGTATCAGTTTTCCTTCTAGTGTTTCTAACAGTTACTTGAATACAAAGTTCTTGGAATACTGTCCGTAACTAATTAGCCACAGAAAAGCCTTTTTTAGCTGCCTTCCCTGCTCTTTTATTCCTCATCACAAGTATAATAAGGGTTGGGAAAAGATTTGCTTTGAAGGTTTCTATTCAACTGCTCACTGTTTCTAAACTGCCCCAGCTTGTGCAAGGGAACTTGGCTATATCAGGAGGAGGTGGCATTAACTGGAGTTAGTGAAGAGCAACAGTGATGCCACTGTTTTTATCTGTGCAAGGGAGCTATATCAGGAGGAGGTGGCATTAACCAGAGTTAGTGAAGAGCAACAGTGATCCCACTGTTTTTATCAGGAAGTGGAGAAGGCTGAGCACTGCTCAGTACAGGGTGCTGTGAGTGCTGCACACACTTGTGCCAGTGGCAGAAGCAAAGCTCTGATTGTCCCTGTGGGTTTTCCCCTTGCCTTCCACTGGCAGTGAGGATGCTATATCAGGAGGAGGTGGCATTAACCAGAGTTAGTGAAGAGCAACAGTGATCCCACTGTTTTTATCAGGAAGTGGAGAAGGCTGAGCACTGCTCAGTACAGGGTGCTGTGAGTGCTGCACACACTTGTGCCAGTGGCAGAAGCAAAGCTCTGATTGTCCCTGTGGGTTTTCCCCTTGCCTTCCACTGGCAGTGAGGATGCTCTTGTGATGAGCATGCAGCTTCCTCACAAGTCATCTTACTGGCACAGGAGAAAGCATTTTTCATAGTTAGAAGCATATTGTTGACAAGATGTTGTTTCTCTGTCTCTTTCCATGAAGGCTTTTTAACTAAGCAGCCTTTACTAATTAATTTTTATTGTTAACTTTTTAAGCTGAAGGTCACTGGTAGTTTTATTCTCATTTCCTTTGCCCTGCCCCATTACTTTAGGTGGAATGCTGTAATAGAATAGCTCCTACCTCTTCTCCTCCCAAAATAATAAGTCAAAGCCCAAAGACTTAATAGTTGCACCTTAAACATAACTGCTGGATGAGGACTTTGGTATATTTGGGGGAACTACAGTAGATTTGCTTTTGAAGCCTGCCTACCTCTTCTCCTCCCAAAATAATAAATCAAAGCCCAAAGACTTAATAGTTGCAGCTTAAACATAACTGCTGGATGACTATAGTAGATTTGCTTTTGAAGCCTCTTCCTATAGCTTTGGCTTCTATGGCAGCAGCATTCCCTGCTAGAAACTTGCCTGCAGGGATTAACAGTAGTGAATTTAGCAGCAGAATGCCTGTAATAATGGAAAACTTGGTGTAGAAAGTAATGCCAGCCTTGGACTGCATTTGTCCCCTCTCAGCCCTCTGCAATCTGCATTCTAAACTGTTTGTCCTTTAGTTACAGCTTCTGAATTGGATCATAAAACTTCACAAAGGAATTTCTGGGCAGAAGCTGGTATTGGGCAAAAGAAGAAAAGAAGCAGCTGTTTGTGCTGGCTTGGCTTCTAGCTGGTGTTTTCACTGCTTGGTGTGCAGAAATGGCTTCTAGCTGGTGTTTTCACTGCTTGGTTGCTGTAAGAAGTGAGTGAGGCTATTTGCAGTTCACACCAGTGAATCTGACTAATCTCACTAATGAGTAAATATGCTTAGATGCTGTGATAGCAAGTGTGGTGGGCAGGGACATGACCCTGGAAGTGCCACCAAGCATATGTGGATGGTGTTGGCAATCCCTTTGAAGCTGAGGAATTTACAGCTTATAATATCTTACAGTATGTGGTAAATGAAGCCAGTCCTGCTCCTGGTATGGGTTTTTACTTTAGCTCAGGTAGGCTTTAAGGGGAAAGTGAATCTAAAGACTAGTTATCTCCTTTAGATCAGTTTGAGGGGATTTACAGAATGCAATATTTCTCCTGTCAAGAAGTGGTCTCTGAAAACAGCTTCATCCAGATTTCAATCAGCTACTGGTGAAAGGAGTAGTGAGGTTGGAGTTGTGTCCAGAAAACAACACAGAGGCAAAGGCCTCTCTGGAAGTTCTTCCCAGTGCAGGCACATCATGCAAATGTACTGTACTAAGGCTGCAGGAGAGCTTCAGCTCAAGGTGTCACTCTTAATCACCCTCAGCTGATCACCCTGTGTTGAATAAGCGTTAGAGAACCAAGGTGATTATGACAAAAATCACACACCTCTCCAGCTGCAGTGGGCACACAGCTCTGCTGAGGGTTTAAAGCCACTAAGAGGAGCAGAAGCTTAAAATAATGATCTTCCCATTGTGTTTTGTTAGTCTTCAATAAATATAGCTCTACCTGCTTCTGACTCTAAAGCAGCATTTGTTGTTTTTATCAGCTGAATGAACAAGCAATTACCACAGTCAGTCCTTCCAAACAGACCAGGGTTATGGACAGACTTATAGTAATGTATTAGCATGACAATTCCCTTCACAATTAGCTTACCAATCCTGGAATTCTTATTATGAAGAAGGATGTTGATAAATCAAATTTTAAGAAGGGACAGACTCTCAAATGTACTGCTTCTCCAGGATTCCTTGAGGAAAACTAAAGGGAGCTGAATTGCTACCTTGTCATGGATTTGAGATCTCACCAATGATATAGCAATCTTGACAAGAATGTCAGGAGCTGAAATGAGTTCAGCTTTCATTTCCTTTCCTGTGCTTGTAGAAAGCTGCCTCTTCAGAGGCAGCCTGATGGAGAAAGAGCATAAAATGAGTAAGCACTGTGCCAGTGCAGTCACTGAGTGCAGGAGGGTTGTGTGCCACTGTGAAGGATATCAGCCACAAATACAGTGCTGCACAACCTCATTGTCTGTTTCTCCCACTGCAGGAGTTTGAAGATGCAGCAGGACTGCTAGTGAGCACAGAATCTCCTCAGAGAAGTCCGACCTGGAAGCGTGGCCATGTCCATCATCATGGATCACAGCCCCACGACTGGGGTGGTGACTGTCATCGTCATCCTGATCGCCATCGCGGCGCTGGGGGCCTTGATCCTGGGCTGCTGGTGCTACCTGCGCCTGCAGAGGATCAGCCAGTCCGAAGATGAGGAGAGCATCGTGGGGGAAGGAGAAACCAAAGAGCCCTTTCTTCTGGTGCAGTACTCTGCTAAAGGACCTTGTGTGGAGAGGAAAGCTAAGCTGACTCCAAATGGCACCGAAGTCCACAGCTAACTTGGAGCAACACCTGTGGCTGGACTATACTCATGATGTGTGGGAGTAGCAGAGGAATCTCTATACTGTGAAGAACCTGGTCACGTGCACGCTGCTCATCAGAAACCTGATGAGAACTAAATAAGCTTTGTTTGCATGCACTGAGAAGTGGCACTTTGCATCAGCTGTGTACCCCAGTTCCTCTAGGACAGGACTCACCTGGCACAGCATCCATTGCTGGCAATGGGCACAGGGATTTGTTGGTCTGAAGAGACCACTGGTGGTTTTTTGTTACTTGAATGTTTAGCTGAGCCTATTTTGATGGAGCTACTACTGTAATGTGAACTACTTGCCAACTGTGAACTGTAAATAGGCTGTCAGAACTTTTTGCTTTGTGTTCTGCAGCACATGGGAATAATATGACACAATTGTATAGGATACACAAGGGAACTCCTGAACCACAATCATGGATGGGATTCCAGACCTTCAAAACCAAATCTGCAGTTAAAGCTTGCTTCTGCTACTGGTTGAGTGCACAGCCACAAAGTCAGAACTTCTACTGTTCAGAGTTTGTTGGACTGATGCAGTGTCCTTCATTGGAAAAGGAGGTATGAGCCTTCAGGAATATGCTGAGGGAGGAAACACAGAAATCACAAGAAAGGAAGTGACTTCCTTTCATTGTAGCTAGGTAGGTTAAGCTTTTGGCTGCTGGAACTGAATTCTCTATGTAGCTCCTGCAAGGAAACTGCCATTTTGATGGATTCCAACCTGGGAACCAATGATGGACACTGAACCTTCAAGGACAGTCCAGAAGGTTTCCAGGAGTTTGAAATGGCAGTAGAGCAGGCTTTTCTCTGCTGCAGGTCTGCATGCTGAAATTGCAGAAGTGTTTACTTAGCAAAACTGGCTTAAGTCCAAGTAGTATGACTTTTTCCTAGAACCCTGGTTTGTGTACTTTGCAGACAGGGTATATGTCAACAGCCTGTTATAAAAAGGCATTTTAGGCTACAGCCAGATAGAATTCAGTTTATGTATCTGATTTAACTGTACTACTCAAAGTTTAAGTTTCAGTCCTTCCTACTGTTGATTCAGGCAAGGGAGAGTGCTGTTGTTTGTGGAAGTTTTTAGCTAGCAGTGGCCAAGTCCTTCCAGATAAGAACATGTATTTCCTGCTCTGTGCTAGAGTTCAGCTATAGGAACTGTAAACATGTGTGAAAAGGGAAGTTCTGGACCTTAGAGGTTTGGGGGGAGGAGGGGAGGGCAGAAAGGGGAGGAGAAGGAACCACACTGAGCACCCAATGGCAGCTTACATACATCCTCAGGCTCTCAGTGTAGGCACACATGCTTTGAGGCCACTGACCTGTTTTCTATTACTTTATATGTGGCCTCCTTTGCATACTGATTTCTAAACACTTAATTGCTTAGGAGAAAAAATGGAGTCCAAGTCTTTCAGCTCTAGAGGAAGCATTAGACTTGCTTCTTTTACCTCCACATATGGAATAACTAAGGCCTAGCAAGCTTGCTTGAGAATTTTAACTTTGTGCAAGATGATAACGGCCTAGACAAAGTCTTGTCCCTTTCTTCTGCACTAAGATGTTGACTTGTGGTTTCAGTGCTACATTTGCCTTTTTTTAAATTTTTATTGAAGGCTGTAATTTGAAGCAAAATGAATGTTGTCAGTAGCAAAAAGCTCCTGCTGTTGCCTCTTGAGCACAATATATGGGTGCAGCCGATAGATGTTCTTACCCTGACAGAAGTCTTGGGACTTGCATGTATAGCCAGACCCATACACTGATAGTGTTGTATTCCAGACCTCTTACAAATCACGGAGAAAAGGATTCATTCAGTAAGACTTTCTTTAGTTTTCAGTAGAGAACAGTTCACACATGGCTCTTGCAGTTTTCAGGACAGTCAGAATACCAGTATACAAAAGTGATACAAAGTGCTGAAGTTCTAGAACAGTTGTAGCAAGATGACTTTGTCCATTCAAGTTTACTGATCACACAGAGGAAATCATGACTTTGTCCATTCAAGTTTACTGATAACACAGAGGAAATCTCTATTTTAAGTCAGCCAAGAGAATGCAGTGTAAAGGGCAAACTTCAGAAATTATGGAAAAGTATAAATCAAAGGTCTAATTTCTCTTCTAGCAGCTGTAAGAGAAAGCCAGTGAAAAATAACTGGTCCTAAGTCAGAGGTGCTTCACACTGCTAAAATCAGGACCTTTAACTTATAGTGGATAGGTGTTTGCAAGTTAGTGCAATAGTAAAGTGCAGAAAGTGTTTTCCATTCTCCTCTTAAGATGGGGTAGCTAATAAGTTGTTCAAGTATACAAAAATATTCCATTTGATTTTTCTTTTTCTAGATCATGTGGGGGAAGAAGTCTTTATTTACAATGAATTTCAATAAAATTTGCATAAATACCTACCCAATACTGCATCATGTGACTCTGTGTCAGCAATCATTCTGTCCTGTTTCCACTACTGTGCTCTGTCTCTACGGGATCAGTGTGATCAATCCTTTCTTCCTCTAACGTGGCAGTAGCTGTTGAAAGTGATACATCATTACCTTCAGCAAGTGTCTGCTCAGACTGAAGAGGCTCCTTAGCTTCATCTTTGCTCTGGAGCTTTCCTTCCCTCGCTGCCACCAGAATTCTCAGTAAAGCATTCTCTTTGAGGAGGTTTTCTGATGCATCAGCTAATTCCTGAAGCTTTTCAGCCATTTCCAGCAGTTCTTGGTTCTTCTGGTCATAGGTGGCCTGTAAGTGCTCACTGTGGAGCTGCAGCCTCTTGTGCTGCTTTTCCAGTGTGTGTTTTTGCTGCTGCAGTCTGTGTTCCTCCCTCCTGGCTTCAGAAAGCTGTGCCTCAAGCTGGTCATGGGCCTGGTGAAGGGCACTGATTTCTGATCTTAACTTCTGAATTTCCCTCTCCAAGTGGGAGATGTGTCCCTGCTGGAGAACTGACTCTTTTTGTAGGCATTCTTTGGTACAGGGCTCTGATGAAGGACTTGTGTGATGTAAAATAAATTTAAGGAGATTAGGAAGGTTAACTGAAAAGTCTTCAGGGAACTTCACACTTTGCTCCTTCCTAGAAAGACATAACAGGTCAATAGTAAAATGTTCAGGTAGGTAAGGACTGATAATTTTCCCAACCATCTGCAGTTCACCTCCAACCTGATACCTTGTTTTTCAGTCAACAATACCATATTTTATCAACAATTCATGAACTTTAGCCCAATGTTCAACAAAATTAAGCTATTTCTGGAAGAGTAAGCAACATGATTATTCCTCCCCTGCAGACTTCTGGTGATCAACCAAGTCACTCTTGTAATTAGCATCAGCAGTTTCTCAGCTGACAATCAGCTCACAGCCAAGTTTAATGAATCATGACATGATTTAGGCAAAAAATAGTCTACACCAGATCAAAATGAACTCATTATACTGTGGTAATATTGTACTACATCCTCATCCATTCTTACTGCTGAAAACCACAGTGTGTATCAAAGAAGCTAAAAGGCTATTTAAAACAAACAGCCAAACAAAGCAGTAACAGCTTGTGGTGCAAAGAAAGGAGAGCAGAGTTCATGTGCAAAATTGTCTCATAAGGCAAATGGATATGAAGCTGCACAGAAAGTCTTAACAGGAGGCACCTTTACATCCCAAATGAGGATATGACTCCTCTAGTAGTGCTGTTGATACTACAAACACTATCAGAACCTAATTTTCTTGATCACCTACATGCAGCAAAATATAACAGGAATGAAAACAATGACAAGAGGTGAAGTTCCTCTCCAAAACCACGTGGAACATTACAAAGACAATCTTAGTAAAACTACTCAGTGTCACTGCAGAGACAGTCCAGAGCTGCTTTAGAAAAGAGACCAGGACAAAACGAATACCCATGAAAAGAAACAGGGAGATATCAGTTGGAAGTTGGGGTGACTCAGAACTGATACAAGGGAAACTATTCGTGTACTGAATTAAAACATGAATTTAGAATTGCAAAACTTAGAGCACAGGTTTAAAGATTTTGTGGCAGGTAACTGCACAGTACCAATAGTCTGAGTCACCACTTCCTGATGGTTAAGAGCTGTTGAGGGAGAAGGGAGGAAATCTGCAACTACTGGTTGGGTTATTCTGTTTTGTTGGTGGTTTTTTGTAAGTTAGAATATGGACAAAGTAAGAATGCGTAGATGGAAATGAATTCCTGTTGGTTTTTTCTCTGCTAAGACAGGTAACCAGATAATTACTATAACTTAGTTAAAAATCCAGAGGGAACAGATTTACATTACCTCTGCTGAGGAAAAAATAAGATGGTTGGGAGACGATCTGTCATGAACTCCCAGGGAAGGTCATTCCGAGTGACATCAATCCTGTAAGAAGAGACACCAATGAAGGGAACAGACAATCCATTTTCTTGGAAAACACCATTTGAGGGATCGGGAAGAAAGAAATGTATCTGTGAAAGTCTAACTGTGTTATGTAAAAATACACTGTGCACATGAGTCAGCAGAATTAATTACCAATATTCCAGAGGATGAATCTCTGTTTAACAAATATCTGTGGGTTTTTTCCCCAGAAAAATATGTTCAAGTGTTCCAACTGCTCTCACCCAGCAATGAAATCAGGGTCATTCATGATGTAAACATCTAATTGTGCACACACCTTCCTGCTCTGAGACAAAGTCTAACAGTTTCAACACAAGACTGAAGTTATTTCTATTCATTAATCTGTTCTCAAGTACAACTCATTAACATCTTCCCCTGGGAAGGGATTGCTTTGCATCACTTACTTAGTTTTCTTCATTTCCCTTCCACTTGCCCTTCAATTATTAAACAATTCTGGTTTGTTTTTTTCATCATCTCCAAGTTTTCTCAATTTTATTGTTCCCCTGTCCCCGGGGGATGGAGAGGGCAGTGAGGTGCTGAGCTGCCCACCAGGATTAACCCACACCAAGATGCCTTTTGCCTATCCCAAGCAATTTCTCAAATGCAGCAAAAGGAAGTTTAGAAAACCAAAAGTA